CCCCAAAACCCCAAAACCCCAAAACCCCATTTTGAGATTAATAAATTGAGAATAAACTACAATGTCAATACTACTCGAAGAACTATTCGGAAAGAAAATAGGTAAAGATTAGCATTACCTCACAATCTAGCCGAGAAAAAGTATAAATTCAGATACAGACCTCAAATAAAATCTAACATATTAGCTCCAAAGACTTTAATTCTCAGAAGAAAGGAGAAAATGAATGAGAAAGGTGGGACCCTTCACTAACCAAAATAGTATTTATGGATAAGCTAAGCTACAACGGGAATCTTCAAACCACACTTCCATTCACCAGTGAAGCTCAGGTTAAGAAAATAAAAGACTATGAATTTTTTGCTGAAGAAATGAGGTATATTTTACCTATCCCTACATTTTGACAATTTTCTCTAGAAAGGGACAAAGTGAAGCCAAGACAGACCCTCCTTCCAAAGTGAGAAAAGTGATCAGACTAAAGAAAAAGATACACCTTCTCACACCTCAACTGTCTACTCCAAAACTACCTGAACTGCCATCAATCCCTAGACCTAGAGTCCAAAAGGTCTCACTTGGGAGGGCTCAGACAAAGAATACATCAATCTCTTCTTCATCAATAGCTACAAGAGCGGAGTACTTCCAAGTAACTAACACATATTTAGCACTGCAACTATTAAGAAAATGTCCTCTCTTTCCTCCATTTCGCCTTTTAATGCATTGAGAAAGAGTCGTAGAAATATGTAAGTTCTAAAAACTGATTTATGCCCATAAGTTATTCCATTTTGAAAGCGAAACTTCTCCACCAAAAAAGAGAGCAGAGCCTGACTGGCTGCTCTGTGGTCTAATACAGCTTCGTGGGGTAGTTTAGCGATAATTTGTACTAACCGGTGCGATATAGTTCTACTCCTTTTACAAGAAAACTCAAAAGGTATAAATTGTTTTTAATAAAGTCTAGATCTGTGAACCAGTTCTCAGGAAAACTGAGCGTAACAGGGATGATTAGTCGGAGGTTACCTCAGAGGTACGCTTTACTCTGTTTTCGAAATTTTCTATGTTAATATTCTTGGGTTATAATATTTCCATAGACCTTCACCAACTCGTTTGGAAAGAAAAGCAGTTTATTCCTTCCAGCAGAATAATTCAGCAACGAGGAGTATTAACTTCTCTGACTGTGTTATTAATCTTTATTCATAAGATTCTTGACTGTATTCAGACTTTTTAACTTAGCAATTCAATTGTAATAGACTCTACAACATCTAGTATTATTTCTGGATTTTTTGTTATAATTTTTGTTTCAGTTATTATCCTGATTAATAGAAATACATACTGCAAACCACTGCTATTTCTTAATTGAGATGGGAAATTGAGCCAGTTACTATTCTATAACGCACAGAATTAATGCTAGGTTCTATTATTTACTCTTTACTCAACATCTTTGTTCTATCATAACTCTTCTAGTTTCATCGGGTATTCATAAGTATATAACTACCTGAATCGTTTCTCAACTAAGTGCACTTCATAAGGGGTTTTGGGGTTTTGGGGTTTTGGGG